TGTATCTCTCCAACACATCAGAACTCCCACTACCACCAGAGTCCACCCCACACCTCGCCAGCCCATCAGTCCTCCTACCGGTTCAGCCCTCCACCCATGGGCAGTGGAGGGAACCAGGGGATGGACTACCAGAGTCCTCCGCCATCTCCTCTTAGGCGTGGGGTTCCATTCAGAGGTAGCCCTCCAATTGAGAGTGTGTGTCTATATCGTTCCCAGTCTGGCTCTCCAGTCCGCTACCAACAGGATCCTTTACCAAGCCGCCCTAAATCGCCACTGTTGAAGATGAGCAGCCAGCGATCCTTCCAACTCCAGTCGCAACCTTCCCAGAGCTCTCAGACCAGTCAGCACCACCAGGTTCAGGGTCTTCGCCTGCAGCCCTCTATGGCACAGATCGTCCGCACTAACCAGCCCAGTAACAGTATGTACAGCCAGTTGGCACATCCACTCAGCAGTAGGTACCAGGGCAGTTCTATGGATGTGGACAGGGAGAGAGATCGAGAGCCAAGGCTGGTGTACCAGCCCTCATTGGATGGCCGGTCAATGTCTCAAGTGCAATCCAGCCTTAGTGTGGGAGCTCTGTGTCAGCATGGGGGCCGAGGTGGGCCTGCTGGGGTTTTGGAGTCAAACTTGGGGAAAGATGAGATCCCTCAGCGTCCTGCTTCAGCCTATCGTTCAGCTACAGGGGGACCCGGAGGCATGCGCTTCAGCCAAACCCCCCAGATAAGCCGTAGTCAGTCAGCTGCATACTATCCTGTCTCCAAGCATGAACTTGAGAGAGCAGTGGCAGCCTCTGTTCTGCCACCATGCCAACTGGGCTCTCCAGAGATCCCCCACCTAGTGCGCAGACCTATCAGTGCTAATACAAGTGACCTAAAACATGTATCGACCCCCAGACCACTGATCCACTCCCAGAGTGTAAATCTTCGCTTCTCCCCATCTAGCAGTAATATCTCCTCAGGTTCCAGCTGCAATCTCGCCCCTGGCTTCAGGCCTTCCTCCTCCATGGCCCAAATGGAAATTCCGCTGCAGGCTGCATATGAACGAAGCTTTGACGAGCCATCTACCCTCTCACCCTCTCAGAGCGGACTGTACTCGGGTGAGCCCGCCCGATCCCGGACCACTCCATTTATGGGCATCATTGACAAGACCGCAAGGACTCAGCAGCAGTACCTTCACCAGCCTTCCCGGGCCTGGCCTGTGTCATCTCTGGAATCGGTTATCACTAGCCCCACGTCGCCTGGTAATTTGATCCACCAAGCCTCCACAGCTTCCTCCTACAGCCCACCTACATCTCTAGGCAATATTGCCTACTACAATAAGACCAATAATGCCCAAAATGGACACATGCTAGAGGAAGAGTACTATGCCCAGCCGCAGCCATCCTCCCTGGGCAAGCTTGCCAATGGAGGAGCCCGTGATCGAGACTTCCTGGAGCGAGTGAGCCAGGCACCAACGTACCAGGATGTTAAGGTGGCACGGACAATGCCCGTGGCACAGGCGTACCAGGAGAACATGTACCGCCAGCTTTCCCGTGATGCCAGACAAGGTCCCACCTCGCCCATCAAACCAAAGAGACCCTTTGTGGAGTCAAATGTTTAACAGGCACCCAAAAGGGTGGGCACAAAGGTGTGAGTGACAGTGAATGTTTGTGTCAGGTCTTACGTAAGGGACTGTGTAGGTGCAGGTTATTAAAGCCAGTATTTCAAGTAGATGAAACTGCACAGGAGAAATACTTTTAATTAACTAAAAAACAGTGTTACAAATACCTGTGTACAAATACATGTGCCTACTTTAGGTCAACTCAATCTGTTGGTAAAAACTCAGACAGCACCCTTTTGGAGTATTAGAATACAGTATGTTAAAGTAAATGTTCTTTAAAGCTCTGCACATTATATAAGAAAGCACATTTATTGACGTTCCACAGCAGAGGCCACATACAGAGGAATAGTGTGTCTTGCCATTGTTCCCAGCACTAAAGCGGATATGAAACTGGCAATCTATGTGTTGAACGCATTCCTTCCTCACCTAATCCTACTCTCTCTCTTCCCAACGAACCTAAACAGATTTGCTAGGCTTTCTGAACATAACATTGTTGAATTGTTCAATACTGTAAAAAGTGAAAATCTGATTCAGAAAAACTAAGTTGTAGTTATAGAAGGAAAAGAGGAATATTTATAATTAAGTTATATGATGTATAGAAATATTGAAGCAGCTTTCCTGTCAGGTTTATTTTGTTTTCTTTTTGTCTTTAATTTCGTATTTATTGATTTGGGCTTTTGGAAACGGTATCAAATATTTAAAAAAATAATGATTTCAAAATAATGAGCTTATGACCAGAGATTATTGTCTTTACAGTTATTACCTTACATTTCTGGCTCCCAAGCAGAAATATGGTTTCTGTCAAAATTCCCAGTTGTAGTGTGGCAATAATATTAGTTTAAACAATTTTTTTGGGAATAAGCTTAATATGATTTTCAAGTAACCCTCACATTTTGTGGATACGGCTTAGTCTTTATTTACAAAATGAGTTCAGTTAACTACCAAGTACTGGAGTGGCAATCCTGCCGTATTTCAAGTTGAAGAATGTATCACACCATAGACGTCTTATGAACTCTACAGTATGTATACTACGCAACACAAAGTTTCAGGGGCGTTTGCAAGATAGTAATAGAATTTCTTCTCTTTTTTTCAGTTTCTTTATTGTTCTAAGAAGCGTCAGTATATCAAGTGAAGTATGTTTGTTTTAACTTTTAAACTTTTATTCGTAACTTTGGTCTGCACTGACTGTCTGTGCATTATGAAGAAAGAGAGCACTTTATTCATTTGTAAGGATTGTATGGAATGTGAATATTGAGGGGCTGGAGATGTTTTTTGTTGTTGTTGTGTTGTTTAGTTTTTTTGGATCTGGGACGGGACGTCCTTACTAACAAACGTTCGGTGAACACTGGAAAATAACCTGTGATTAGCTGTACTACTAGAAAACAAATAGCAGTTATTGTCCTTGGTGCAATTCTAATTTTTCAAGCAAATGAATGAACAATAATATAAAAGAGCAAAATTATGTTTTTAAAAAGATATTAAAAAGTGTATATAACAGCCTTTATAGAGCGCAGTGTACTTGCTGTATATAGTGGCCAAATGTGTTCATGCATACAAAATCCTGCTCTCCTTTGCAAATGCGTCGCTAAATGCAGCGTGACAAAGACTTGATGAGCCTCACATGTCAAAAACAGTTCAGTGGCGTCACACACTACCGAAAAGTAAACCAGCTGTTTTGAAATAGTGTATTTGTCGTGTAAAAATACAATATTCAGCTAGTTCCTTTTGAAGTTCTCTGCTTCAGATTGCAATACTATTAACATGCCGAGCTTAAATGTGGCTTTGGTCAGATCTTCTCAAAAATACAGTATATGGACCGGTATCTAGACAGCTTGTCTTAAAGGCAACCATATTCACCTTTCTGTTGCTGTCAGTGTAAACTTGCTTGAATTGAGAGATGCCCCGTGGTCAACTTTGGGGAAAAGCTAAATAAAGAACACTTGAGAACACAGGACTCTGATGTGGGCTTGTCAAGAGCCTCTTTAGGGTGGTGTGGTTTTTCAGTGCAAGTTATTTTTGCTGTACATAACCTGACGCATGATTTATCCCCCATTCACCTCTGAATTCGACATACACAGACATTCGTGAATCTGCCATATGTCTCCAATAGAAGAACTAAACAGAAATAAAGTTCACAACCGACGAAAAAAGAAATCTCACACTCATCTCCACCAAACTCAACAGTAGAGACGTGACATTTACCTCTGAAGGGTTTGGCCATTCTTTTTATCTTTCAGTTAGATTTTAGTTGATTTTAATGTACTTGCTTGCTAAGCAGAATTTCTCGTCTGTAAATGTGAGCTTTCAGAGCGCTGTGATAACGTTTAATGACTTCAATAAACCAGAATGTGTTTTTATCATGTCACTTGTCCTTTTTATATGGTTTATGCTTATTAATAGTTTCAATATAAGAAATGTATAACACTGGTCGAGCTCCTAATATTCCTTTTATTGTGGTTTGACTGTACTTTATATTCAGATGTTACACGTTAACTGCTAATAATCAAACCATTTAATCAAAACCAGTATCATATATTCAAGGAATAGTTCGCCCAAAAATAAAAATATGTATTCACCCCCAAGTCACCCAGATTTTCATGAGTTTGTTTTATCAGACTTGCTCGCACTTGTTCAGCAATGGATGCTCTGCAGTGAATGGGTGCCGTCAGAATGAGAGCCCAAACAGCTGATAAAAACATCACAATAATCCACAAGTAATCCACACCACTCCAGTCTAACAATTAACGTCTTATGAAGTGAGAAGCTGCATGTTTATATATTGTGATGTTTTTATCAGCTGTTTGGATTCTCATTTTGATGGCACCCATTCACTGCAGAGCATCCATTGGTGAGCAAGTGATGGAATGCCACATTTCTCCAAATCTGATGAAAAAACAAACTCCTCTACATCTTGGATGGTCTGAGGGTGACTACATTTTGAGAAAATGTTCATTTTGGGGTGAACTATTCCTTTAAACAGTCATGTATGATACCTCATATCATACTAGCTGTTGAGAAGAGACTATTACATTTCTATGTGATCAAACTTGATTTTCACCTGGAAAATGATAAAAATCTTCTAACCATATCTATGGACCAGAGACCTGAACCTTTTTTGAACACCACTCTAAACACCTAAGCAACTATCTAAAACACCTCAGAATCATAATTAGCAAATGCTGGAAAAACGTGGTGTTTCTTCACAGAAAATGTTGTTTTTGCTTATAAGCAAGTTTATTATAACCAAAAAAATATTTTGGTTTCTAAACAAGAAGAGACAATTCAAGTAACTTAAGAGTTAAAAAAAAAAAACCCAACAGAAGTAGAACAGCCTTCTACAAAGTACTTTTTAAAAGAATCATCAAAGAACAACAGCAACAAGAAACATTTTTACTCAAGACTTTCTTTGGCACAAACTACATGTTTATGCAGTGCAGCAATCCTTTTCACGTCTGCTCCAAAAACATTCTTTAAAGCTCAAACAGAACTCCATGTATGATTGATCTTCAAGCTGATGGTTCTTTTTGTGTCAAGAGCTTTCTGTTTTGATGGCTGGTTCAAACACCAAAAGCTGCGACATTCACTTTTACTCCCTCTTGGGTTTGGCTGTGAGAAGATGCACAAATCCTGGCACCAACACCATGACCACCTGCGGCACAATGCTGTATTTGAGAAAAAACAGGGAGTAGAAGAGAAGTGGAGGAACGGTGGGCACTGGGAAACTGTTGATGTAGTGGAGGGCTATGGACGAGAGGGCCAGACAGAGAGTCCTGGGAACCCATGGAAGAGCCCATCCCCCTGGCTTCCAGTACTGTGCAAGTCCTAGTCCCAGCAGAACCCCGGCATCACGGTTCAGAGAGGAGAAGGGCGCCGTGTCCATACGGATCCACTCGGAGCGAGAGCACCACCTCTTAGCCAGTGAGATAGACCTGCGGTTCAGAGTTTAAAGGAGACATATTATGCCCCTAAGTTTACGTTAAAAACACACGAGTTACAGAAACAGTGGGTTATGTCTGTGAAGGTAAACAGCTGCAGACATTCGTGAATCTGCCATATGTCTCCAATAGAAGAACTAAACAGAAATAAAGTTCACAACCGACGAAAAAAGAAATCTCACACTCATCTCCACCAAACTCAACAGTAGAGACGTGACATTTACCTCTGAAGGGTTTGGCCATTCTTTTTATCTTTCAGTTAGATTTGAGTTGATTTTAATGTACTTGCTTGCTAAGCAGAATTTCTCGTCTGTAAATGTGAGCTTTCAGAGCGCTGTGATAACGTTTAATGACTTCAATAAACCAGAATGTGTTTTTATCATGTCACTTGTCCTTTTTGTATGGTTTATGCTTATTAATAGTTTCAATATAAGAAATGTATAACACTGGTCGAGCTCCTAATATTCCTTTTATTGTGGTTTGACTGTACTTTATATTCAGATGTTACACGTTAACTGCTAATAATCAAACCATTTAATCAAAACCAGTATCATATATTCAAGGAATAGTTCGCCCAAAAATAAAAATATGTATTCACCCCCAAGTCACCCAGATTTTCATGAGTTTGTTTTATCAGACTTGCTCGCACTTGTTCAGCAATGGATGCTCTGCAGTGAATGGGTGCCGTCAGAATGAGAGCCCAAACAGCTGATAAAAACATCACAATAATCCACAAGTAATCCACACCACTCCAGTCCAACAATTAACGTCTTATGAAGTGAGAAGCTGCATGTTTATATATTGTGATGTTTTTATCAGCTGTTTGGATTCTCATTTTGATGGCACCCATTCACTGCAGAGCATCCATTGGTGAGCAAGTGATGGAATGCCACATTTCTCCAAATCTGATGAAAAAACAAACTCCTCTACATCTTGGATGGTCTGAGGGTGACTACATTTTGAGAAAATGTTCATTTTGGGGTGAACTATTCCTTTAAACAGTCATGTATGATACCTCATATCATACTAGCTGTTGAGAAGAGACTATTACATTTCTATGTGATCAAACTTGATTTTCACCTGGAAAATGATAAAAATCTTCTAACCATATCTATGGACCAGAGACCTGAACCTTTTTTGAACACCACTCTAAACACCTAAGCAACTATCTAAAACACCTCAGAATCATAATTAGCAAATGCTGGAAAAACGTGGTGTTTCTTCACAGAAAATGTTGTTTTTGCTTATAAGCAAGTTTATTATAACCAAAAAAATATTTTGGTTTCTAAACAAGAAGAGACAATTCAAGTAACTTAAGAGTTAAAAAAAAAAAACCCAACAGAAGTAGAACAGCCTTCTACAAAGTACTTTTTAAAAGAATCATCAAAGAACAACAGCAACAAGAAACATTTTTACTCAAGACTTTCTTTGGCACAAACTACATGTTTATGCAGTGCAGCAATCCTTTTCACGTCTGCTCCAAAAACATTCTTTAAAGCTCAAACAGAACTCCATGTATGATTGATCTTCAAGCTGATGGTTCTTTTTGTGTCAAGAGCTTTCTGTTTTGATGGCTGGTTCAAACACCAAAAGCTGCGACATTCACTTTTACTCCCTCTTGGGTTTGGCTGTGAGAAGATGCACAAATCCTGGCACCAACACCATGACCACCTGCGGCACAATGCTGTATTTGAGAAAAAACAGGGAGTAGAAGAGAAGTGGAGGAACGGTGGGCACTGGGAAACTGTTGATGTAGTGGAGGGCTATGGACGAGAGGGCCAGACAGAGAGTCCTGGGAACCCATGGAAGAGCCCATCCCCCTGGCTTCCAGTACTGTGCAAGTCCTAGTCCCAGCAGAACCCCGGCATCACGGTTCAGAGAGGAGAAGGGCGCCGTGTCCATACGGATCCACTCGGAGCGAGAGCACCACCTCTTAGCCAGTGAGATAGACCTGCGGTTCAGAGTTTAAAGGAGACATATTATGCCCCTAAGTTTACGTTAAAAACACACGAGTTACAGAAACAGTGGGTTATGTCTGTGAAGGTAAACAGCTGGAAAATAAATCACATGTTTATTTTAGATCTGTGTGGCAGCAGCGTAATATACAGTTAATAAATCAATAAATGCACTGCTCTGTTGTCTCCTCTGAGGCTGGGACTCTAAACAGTGTTCTGTGCTCGTCTGTGCAGACAAACACAGAACAGTTCGCATGTTTTGCTCAAACTTTCTCCATGGCATTAGAACTAGTACACCGCTGTCGCTTGCGAAGTCAAATGACGGTGCCGTGGGTGGAACGTGCAGATTAAGAGGCGGTAATATTATAATGAGATCCCTTTGCCTCGTCACCAAGGAAGCGAAATCAGACGCGCTCGTTTTCTCAGACGCTTGCAGAAAAAGTCGTCCCAAAACAAAGTTCCTGGGTTCATCTTTTTCACGTTTCCTTGGTTGGTAGATGCACCGGGACCTGATTATAGCACTTACAACCTGGAAAAGTCAGATTTTCATGATATGTCACCTTTAAGAATTGTTCATAAAGATAAAGCCTCATTAACATACAGTGCTGGGTAGATTACTGTTACTGATTACAAATTACATGACGAAAACTGTAGTTAGTAATATATTAGATGACACATTTTAGGTAATGTATTCAGATTACTTTTTGATAACTTTTGACCAAACTCATTTATCACATTGATTTGACAGATTTCTATTCTATATAAAAATATAAATTCTATATAAAAAATATCTATATAAAATATAAAGAAAGAAAACGTATTCCATCTTTGTCAGCAACATGAAGGAAATGCAGGAGGTTTGTGAGCTGATGAAAAGTAATGATTAATATCTCATACAAATGTACAATAAATAATTTTACAATAAACCTTAAAAATAAAAAAATCTATGACTTATTAAAAAAGGTAATCTTTTGAATAATAAAATTATTTAAAAATAATAATTACTAATATTATCAATTATATTAATAAGTAGTTCATTTTTGGAATCTGATTAAGTAATCCAGATTACATTTAACCAGTTACTACCTGGCACTGCTAATACAAATATGCAATATAAATATATATATATATATATATATTTATATATGTGTGTGTGTGATAAGTTTGAGGCCCAATATGTTATGATTAAGGGTAGACAGATTTGTCATTTAATTATAACAAATGAGAAAATATAGAAAATAAATGTTTTAAACTAAATAAATGTAATGTTTTCATAAAATTTTTTACTCAATATAACACTGTACCCACCAAGAAAGATCAACCCCAATCTTTTGCAGGGCACCATGCATTAGAAGAGCTCCAAGGAGCAAAGTCAAGCTGAAGCGAAAGAAGAACAGCAGAGGGCGACATTCAGGCACAGTCCTGTTCAGAAAAACCCCCAGCAAGACCCCTGTGGAGAGAGTGCATGAAGATACAAATATAATATAATATAATAATATAATATAATATAATATAATAAGTTCTGACCTGCCAGAAGACCTGCAATGACTTGATGTGGGAAGTGAGCTAAGATGAAGATTCGAGAGAGGCCTACACATGCCAAAAATACTGCATACAACAGATACGGCACTGCAGCTAATATCTTACTGTTAGAGAGAGATAATTGAGTTAGTTTCACATATGAATAACTAACATTTCTATTATATCACGAGAGCCTTAAAGACAGACCTGCCTGTGCGAGTGTGAAAGAAGGAGGCCAGGAAAGAGACGACCACCCACCAGACAGCACCAGTGACCATGGCATGACCGGACGGACTGCCTGAGAGAGACAGACGAGGAATCGGTCAGTCAGCAGCTCGTTTCAAATGTCTTCACATCCGGAAACGGTTCAGGTAAAGTGATGTGTGATAAGGAGGTTTGCTTTGCTGCTTTACCTGGGCCGGTCTCACAGGTAGACAGGAACTGCTGGACTTTTGGTGGGTTTTTAGAAAACAATCCAGAATGTCCGATCCACCAATAAGGCCTCTCGCCAAACAGGATCCTAACATAAAATGTCAACATGTGAAATCATGTGACTGAGAACTAAAATAATCTTAATAAATACAAATAATGTAAATATTACTAGGTTTTATCCATTCGTCAGCAATACGTTTTTTAATAATTTAAAATATAATATGATCACTTATTCTTTTATATATTTTAATAAGTACAGGTCAGAATATATCCGTTACACTGAATCCGTTCACCCATATTTTAACGTTATTTTCACAACAGTTATTTGAAAAATTAAAGTAGACTTTACTTGCGTTTAATATGTTTTATGCGAGTATAAAATCACTTGCAAATCATTTGTAAATTGCATTTGATTCGGACACCAAAATGAGACATCCTGTCTTTGACTCATATGCGTATATGATCACTTTAAATGCATTTAAAATGGGGGTGACAGTTAAGGGGTTAAAAAGAAAGAAACAATAAACTGGTCCCTTTCCTGTCACCTGACGTGCCTCTGCGTCGTACGTCGCCACGCCGCCGCATGCGTTTACGTAAAGCTCGCGCTCCGGTTTCCCTGGCGGAGAAGATGGCGGCTCCTGGACCGGGGGAGTATTTCAGTGTCGGGAGCCATGTCTCTTGCCTCACCTGTTTAGGCCAACGTTTGCAGGGAGAGGTGGTAGCTTTCGATTACCCGTCCAAGATGCTGACTTTGAGTATCCTTGATTCCTCGCATATGTGCGTTTAAACGGCCGTACTGTGAACTGAGGCTCCGTGCGAGCGTGTTTATGTGTGCGCTAGTCGCCTCATTCAACGCCTGTTCTTGCTTTATTTACTTTCTGTGTTGTTTTCGCTTGGGTTCTCTTTTGCTAAGTTGATTTGATGTGGGTGCATAGTTGGAAGCGTATTAGAGAAGTGTTGTTTGTGGTTAGCGTGTTGATTAGCATGTCCTCGCCACCGACAGTATTAGCATGCGCGCTAAGCTAATGTCTTTCCAGTGCAATAATGGCAGCTCTCACAGGACACGTAACACACAATATCGTTTCTTTGTTTTTCATTAAGTGTTATTTAGGGAAAATACGCCAGGCTGAGTATCAGCCACTTGGTTTTCTCAATACATGAGGTATCTAGCTCTACTGTTCTCAGATGAGTTATATATCAGACCAGATGAGTGTTGACACCCTGTGACCTGGCATGTGTGCAAGATTCAGGCTTTTTAACAAAATCATTGTGTTTTGGAAAGTACTGCCTATATAACATGTCTTTAAGGGTTTATGCCTGTAATATAGTTATAAAAATCTAAATTAAAGTTTGCACGCTCTGTATCATATTTAATACATCAGGCTATTATTGCTCAGATAGTATGATGTCAAGTCACCTTTATTTGTGTAGCGCTTTATACAATACTGATGATGCTGTGAGAATATTAAGCCCATCCGGAAGGAGGAAAAACACCTGTTTTATTCAGAGGCTCAAACTGAGCAAAAATATGCAATTTGGTGCAGATGTCGATATTTATATGACCAAAAAGTGAATGAAAGTCTGATGCTTGTAATGCAAATCAATGAGATCTTTATTACAGACTGGTTATATAGCTAAAATGATATAAATATCAGTTGTTACTCTATATCTGCCAATTATACGTCTTGGTTTTATGATCAAGTAGTTTCAAAATATATAATGCCATGCGATCCAGTGTTGATTGAGAGATGAACAAATCTAAAGCCTGATGATGATGATCATATTTGCTACATTTTAACATTAGAAAAAAAAAAATTTGTATGGATGGTGATTGTAAACTTTGAGTCCAGTAAATGTTCATTTTGCTATGTTAATGACAAATTATTCTTAGGATTACCACACACAAAAAAATAAAAGATTTCATTACAAAAAGACGTGACCCACAACCTGAAAGTGGACTTTTTTTTACAATTATTCTAAAAGGTGCTTTACTTTTTAAGTGAAGTATCATTGAGATGACAGAAGGCATGTAGATTTTGTGTGCAACAGGTTTTTCAGCAAAGTTTTCATCATGTGGATCATTTAGAGGCTTTAGAAATCCATGAATAAAATATCAGTATGCATTGATTTTAAGGATAGATTGGATGGCGAAGCAGCATCTGGGGAATGTGTTTGTGAGTTTTTCTGGTGTCTACAAAGATGGAGTCTGATTTTGACTTGTTCATAGTGATTAATGAGTTAGTCTGCTTGGCACACAAGCGGTTGACCTTCATATATCTAGAAATCCCACTTAAGTGTGACCTTTGATGGTTTGATTCTTTGACGTATTCAGCCTGTCATTTGTCACTTTTTCCCCCCGCTGTGTTATGTTTTGTGGGCTTGCTCAACCAGTTACTCATATTGGTTTCATTTGTTATATTTTCTATTTTGACTCTTTACTCGTTTTGTGTATGGGCCTTAAAATAATTATCTAAACTTGTGGGGACTGTTGAATCTGAGCAGCAGAAGGAAGTGCTGATTTCCCAAAAAAAGGTTTTAACAGCTAGCTATTTGTCTTTTTTTTTTCTTTTTTTTTCTCTCGACATAATCTTGACTTCATGTCTTCGTTTGGTTTTTCCTTAACCCTTCTCCTCCCAGAATGTCCTTCCTCCAGCGGTAAGCCTAACCTCAGTGACGTCATCTTGGTTAACTTAGCCTATGTTTCAAATGTGGATGTTATTAATGACCGCACTGAGACTCCTCCTCCTCTAGCATCCTTGAATATTAGCAAGGTAAGCTCACATTTTATGCTTAAATCATATTGAGAACCAAAGGTGTGTGGTACAGTCACAATTTTATATACTAGTATGAGTCATTTTAATTCATGGTAAGGCTCTATATCACAGTATAGTTGGTGTTAGGGGTCGACCGTTAATCGGCGCCGATATTAAGCATTTTTTATTATCGTATCGGTCATTTTCAAAACCGATTCGCCGATAAAATAATTAAATTTTGAAACGCGCTATTTGGCTCTGATGCAGCCGGTCAGAACTCACCACTTTCTGGCCTAAAGCAATCTCCGCCCACCGCCCATCTGATTTGTTGGGAGTCACGAGTCCGATCAATCAATGCCGAATTCACTCTCACTCCGAAAGCACTTGCTAACTGGAGCTGCTTCAGTGATCACACATCAGTTGTCTCTCAAAGGTAAGGCAGCAGCAGACGTTGCTTAAGTTGCAATAAATCACAATCCACTAACATTACACTGAAGTTGTAAAACACCTCAGTATTATCTATGATTTCCGCGATGCGGAAAACGCGGACAGAATCGCGGAATCCAGTCATATAAATGGAATGTTTGGATGAATTAATCAAAAGAAGGTCAGTACACTTAAATAGTCACAATATGGACTACTATCTGTAAATATTAAGCCGCAAAAATACTATTTAAATATGAATCCAGCATGTTCTGCGTATCTCTCTGTATGTAAATGGCACAGACGCAAGGTTTTGTTTTCTACACATACAAAGTGTGCGATGCTCGCTGTGATTTCAGCTTCTGTCGTCTCACTACATGAGGACATAAATACACGAACAACATCTCCAGAACTGCTCTGACTCCCTCTGAGAGTCACTTTGAGCATTTGCAACCCTCTACATTGCGAGTAAATCACTCGCATGTGCGACTGAATCTTCACTCTGGGCGACTAAATGATAACTGATATTAGCCAATGGCTAATAAATTCTCAGATTTTAATCGCCAGTATGTAAGTTGGAGGCTAATTATAAGTTTAGCACAGATATATTTTTACTCGCCGAACTCTGACTGAGCGCTTCAGAGTTTCACTCTCCGTCAAGAGATCTGTGTGCTTTTTTTCAGCTCATCTCAATGGATGCGCAGCGCACCTTGATTTGACGTACCGTAAACTCTAGTGTAAAGGTGCACAACTCACCGTCGCTTTGCTTAGTACAGCCACTGTCCTGATCATTCCCGGAGAAGTGTCACCTCTCTCGGCGTCTGTTCTGTGCAGTGAGCGGCAGAGAAGCAGCGCATGGTTATGGTTAACACCCGGTCATGCATGAAAAAAAAAAAATACTGTCATGTACCGTGAAACCGGTATAATTTAGAAAAATACCGTAATATACATTTTTGGTCATACCGCCCAGCACTATTACACATATATTTCTAACATGTAAATTATTGAAGCCAAATACTTACATTTCCCAGAAAAAAAAAAGAAAACCGTACTGAACCAAGGTTAAAAAAATAAAAATAAATAATAATATTAGTTACATATTGATCATTAACGTTAGTTCATACTATAGTTCATTAATGTCACTAATGTCTAATTTCACTAGCTTTAAATCTGCAACTTCACTAGATAGCAAAAGCATTAATGCGACCAGCTGGATATACAAATAGATGGTAACAATCGTGACAAAATATTTGGGTCGTACGTGTGTGTGTTTTGGTCACATTGTTTTAACTGCTTGAGGTTTTAATGTTAGTGTCCTCTCAGCCTTGACCGCAAACATACTACTGCTGTTCTTACTTTCTAATGCAGCATTTAGACAACACATTATTTACTTTGCAGAAACTCCAAATACACCCCGCAGAAAAGACCCAGGAAATGCCTATAGCGGTTCCTGAATAAACAGAAGATTTAAATGCTTATATTGATTCAACATGACTAATAAACACACGGCTATGGAAATACATGGTTTATCCGAGTTCTTATTATTATAATTTTCATTATTATAAAGTATATCTATTATGCAATACTAATCGACAGCCTTTATCACTGCTTATAATACTATTAAATATTTTGCGTGCCTAATTCTGTGAAAGAAGCCACATCATCTCACAGAAGGATTTATTTCAAACACTCGACTGACGTTATGAAGTGAGTTTGGAGTAAAAGCATGTTATTAAATGTGGTATTTTCACATGCTTTCAGATGAAGCAGCATTTACTACACAGAGCCGTAGTTCACCGAGAAGCTACCCAAACAGTAGGGGTGGGGGAAAAAATCGATACAGCATAGTATCGCGATATTTTCTGCAGCAATACTGTATCTATACACGGACGCCAGGTATCGATCTTTTATTATACTATTTGGTAGAATAATA